AAAAATACTGCTATTGAATTTTATTTAATAGAAGCATTTAACGATTCAACGATTCCTTTTACTTAGTTATTATGTAAAGAAATTTGTGAACTCTTAAAAATGACGACCAAATACTGTGATAATTTGTTATAAAAACAAATTATTTATTACAAGCCTTAAGTAACGTAAAATAAAATAGATAATACAATCAATCATCAGAACAATGTTTCTTCAGTAAAAATTATACAAAACATATAACAAATCTTAGAAAAAAAGATAATGTTTAAGAGTGATTTGATAAAACACAATTATTTGTAGTAAACAAATTTTTAAATGTCAGTTGAGCGTGTTGACCGCTTCACTTATCTTGGGAGTCTCATCGGTGCTCATGTCCTGGTGACTGATGAAATCTCAGCACGGATACAAAAGGCTTGATTGCTTTTCGTCAACTTACGTCACTGATGACGTAGGCGAGATATCCGTCTGCTAACCAAAGGAAGAATATAATGTGCAGTAGTTCGTTCCGTCCTGCTTTTGGCTGCGAAATATGGCCAGTCAGAGTAGAAGATATACATAGGTTACTGGTTTTCAGTCATAGGTCTCCGTAGTATTGCTCATGTATCATGGGACCAACCAAGTAGACAATGTTGATGCTAGTTAACGGACACTAGGTAAGGATGGCAGATCAATTGATGAAGTAGTGGAACTTTATCATTTGAGGTGGTTGGGAGATGTGTTGCGTATGCCTAACACCGACTGCCTCATCGAGCTATGTTTTGAGACGTAGGATTAGGTTGGAAGAAGTCTAGGGGCTTACTTACTTACTTTCGCCTGTTACCCCCAATGGAGCATAGGCCGCCCACCAGTTTTCTCCAACCAACTCTGTCCTGGGCTTCCCTCTCCAGTTCTGTCCAATGTTTGTTCATTCTTCTCATATCTTTCTCTATTTCTCGGCGTAGTGTGTTCCTTGGCCTTCCTCTTTTCCTTTAGCCTTGAGGGTTCCATGTGAGGGCTTGTCTAGTGACGCAGTTGGGTGCTTTTCGTAGTGTATGTCCTATCCATTTCCACCGCTTCTTCCTGATTTCCTCCTCCATTGGAATCTGACTTGTTCTCTCCCACAGTTCGTTGTTGCTGATGGTGTCTGGCCAACGAATACGAAGTATTTTGCGTAGACAACTGTTAATAAACACTTGTATCTTCTGGATGATGGCTTTGGTAGTTCTCGATGTTTCCGCTCCATACAGTAGAACTGTCTTGACATTTGTATTGAAAATCCTGATTTTGGTTTTGTTTGAAAGTTGTTTGGAGTTCCAGATATTTTTCAACTGTAGAAATGCAGCCCTCGCTTTGCCGATCCGCGCCCTCACATCTGCGTCCGATCCACCTTTCTCGTCGATGATGCTGCCAAGATATGTGAAGGTGTTAACTTCCTCCAAGGTATCTCCATCAAGCGTGATTCGGTTGGTGCATGTTGTGTTGCATCGGAGAATTTTGCTTTTTCCTTTATGTATGTTGAGACCTACTGCTGCAGAGGCTGCTGCTACACTGGTCGTCTTCTCTTGCATTTGTTGTTGAGTGTGCGATAGAAGAGCCAGGTGATCTGCGAAGTCCAGATCGTCCAGCTGCGTCCTAACTGTCCAGTTGATACCGTGCTTCCCTCCAGATGTTGACGTCTTCATAATCCAGTCGATGACCAGGAGAAAGAGAAAGGGTGAGAGTAAGCAACCTTGCCTGACACCGGTCTTCACCTCGAAAGAGTCTGTCAGCTGACCTCCGTGTACGAATTTGCAGTTGAATCCATCATAAGAATTCCGTATGATGTTGACTATTTTCTCAGGCACACCGTAGTGTCGAAGAAGCCTCCACAGTGTTTTCCTATCCACGCTATCGAATGCTTTCTCGTAGTCGATGAAGTTGATGTAGAGTGGTGAGTTCCATTCAATTGATTGTTCCACAATGATCCGTAATGTAGCAATTTGGTCAGTACACGATCGATCCTTACGAAATCCGGCCTGTTGATCTCGAAGTTGGGCGTCTACGAAGTCCTTCATTCTGTTTAACAATACTCTGTTGAAGACTTTGCCTGGTATTGAAAGAAGAGTGATGCCTCTGTAGTTTTCACACTTGCTGAGATTGCCTTTCTTTGGTATTTTGATGAGGTATCCTTCTTTCCAATCTGATGGTACTTGTTCCTCATCCCAAATCTTCATGAAGAGAATGTGAAATATTTTCGCAGTTGCTTCCACATCTGCTTTCATTGCCTCTACTGGAATGTTGTCTGGTCCTGCTGCTTTGCCGCTCTTGATTTGTCTGATGGCTATACTGATCTCCTCAATCGTAGGTGCACCAATATTAATTGGGAGGTCCGTGGATGCTGCTTCGATGTTGGGTGGGTTCAGTGGAGCTGGTCGATTCAATAGTTCCTTAAAGTGCTCTACCCACCTATTTCGCTGTTGTTTAGTGTTGCTGATTATTTTCCCTTCCTTACTTTTCACTGGTCGTTCTGGTTTACGATAGTTTCCGGCGAGCTTCTTTGTAGTTTCGTAAAATTGTCTCATGTTTCCTTCTCTTGCAGCCTTTTCCGCCGTCATTGCTACATAATCCACATATTTTCGTTTGTCAGCTCTGATGCTCTTCTTCACTTCCCTGTTTGCTTCTGTGTATTCAGCTTGTGCCTTAACTTTCTCTGCTCTTGTTCGGCTGACATTGATAGCTGCCTTCTTGTTCCTCCTTTCTTGAATTTTTTCAAGAGTACCAACAGAGATCCATTCCTTGTGATGGTGCTTCTTGCGACCAAGGACCTCCTGACATGTTGAAGTGATTGCCTCCTTAATCCCTTTCCAATTGTTCTCCAATGTTGCTTCCTCTCCATTGAGTAGATCCTGAAAGGCCTGGAACCTATTGGAGAGGGCTATCTTGAATTTGTTGAGTTTTACGGTATCCCGAAGAAAGGCCGTATTAAACTTCCGTGATGTTGTCTGCCCCGCTGTCCAGTGCTTCTTTAGCTTCAATCTCATTTTGGCGATCAGCAAGTGGTGATCTGAAGCTATATCAGCTCCTCTCTTGGTTCTCACATCCTCCATGGTCCTTCTGAACTTTTTGTTGATACAGATATGGTCAATTTGGTTTTGAGTAGTGTGGTCCGGTGAAATCCATGTGGCTTTGTGAATGCGTTTGTGCGGGAATATTGTGCCACCGATGACCAGTTTGTTGAAGGCACATAGGTTTGCAAATCTCTCACCGTTTTCGTTCCTTTCTCCCAGTCCATGTCGTCCCATGATGTCTTCATATCCAGTGTTGTCCATTCCAACCTTGGCATTCAGGTCTCCTATAAGAATCGTCAAATCCTTTGGTGAACATTTCTCGACGACTGACTGCAGCCTTTCGTAGAATTGATCTTTAACGTCGTCATTGTAGTCATTGGTCGGTGCATAACATTGGATGACGTTCATTGTAATGTCCTGTTTCCTTGTTTTGAAGGATGCTTTAATGATCCTGGGTCCATGAGATTCCCATCCTATCAGTGCCTTTTGTGCATGTTTGGACAGCATCAGTGCAACTCCTTGTGTATGTGAAGCGTTTTCCTCTTCATGACCAGAGTATAACAGCAGTTCCCCTGAAGCAAGTCTCAGTTGTCCTACCTGTGTCCAATGTGTTTCACTGATGCCGAGCACCTCGAGGTTGTATCGTTTCATTTCTGCCGCAACTTGAAATAGTCTTCCAGTCTCCCACAATGTACGAACGTTCCATGTACCTAAAAAAATGGTTGCTCTGGTTGTCAGAAGAGGCATCGGCCCCGTGACTTCGGAGGGAACTCGGCTTTCATCACGAGACGTCATAATTCTTCTTCCAACTCCCAGGGCAGAGTTAAAATGGTTTGAATTATTTTTTCTGGTTAGCGTTTTTTTGGCAAGTTAGATTTCAACGGAATGGGGCCGCCAACCCCATGTCCAACCCTCCTCCTTTATCCGGGCTTGGGACCGGCAGTAGCCCCTAAGGTTCTACTGGCGGAGTTAAGTCTAGGGGCGGCGAAACTAAATTATATCAGAAATCTCTGAAGTCACTGACTACTGGACTGAGTCATGTTCGTAGGTGTCGACTACCTAATTGAGGTCTGCGAGATGATAGTAATCGATGGTTAGAGACTTTGAATGACATGGCTTAAAATCGTTTGCGATGGCGCATGTGCATCCACTCTTTGTATTCTATCAAATTCCAATCTTCAGAACTGATCATCATCTTTATCTTTTTAAGCTTATTTCATTAGACTCTACTTCTGGAATAATATCTTCGAACTCTTATCCCTCCGTTTACTGTTAATCGATATGGCAACATGAGCGTATGTACATACGTACGAAGTTCTTACGTTGCAACTGACTGACCGATTACTGTTAATACTTCTATTACCTCTACCAAAATGAGATTTGAATTGACAATTTCATCTTTGTGCTACTGTGGTATAGCAACCTGAACTGATGTACGTATGTACGTACGTACGAAGTTCTACGTTGTAATTGACTGACTGAATATTGCATCCTATTTTATGTGAATAATTTTTACTTGTCACATAACGTGTAGTCGTTTTCATTTCATGCTGGTGCATATATGTGTATGTATTCCATTTAGATCTTTGTGTAAGACATAAATCATATCCGTTCTCTTCAAGTATCTCATTAAATTAAATTTCAAATTAAATGATTTATATTTTTCATTTACTGAATAAATAAACGTTATTGTACTCTGACTTGTTAACTTCCTCTTTGCAAATTAATCGTATCTGATGGATTAGTCCTAGTTAATATGTTATAATTGAATAACCGGAATATTCTTGCATACTCCCATCTAATTCATATTGTTAAATTCCTTCTCTTTAACTTATTAATGTGTAAAACTCACTTTTTAAACACACTACACCATAATTAATCGGGTTTTGTTTTCCTTTTTGTTACTACATTTCTCTTACACTTAATTTATTCCATGTTAACGTCTTTTTATTTTTTTTATTGTCTCTCTCAATTCAGGTACCATTAATTTACAATTATCTGATGGATCACATTATACATGGACTAAAGTAACCACTATTGTTCATAATCTCATTGTTGGTACAATATGGATTGATAATTGTGGTGATGTAACTATAGAAAATCATAAAACTGGTTATTTATGTAATTTACAATTTATTGCTCATTCTTATTTCAATAGAGGACAAGCAAGACGAGTATGTAGTTTGTGTGTTTTTTTTATATTTGATTGGGTTGATGCATATGAATTTTGTCTGTTTTCATGTTTCTGGTTTATAACAAATAAAATAAGCCATTTTCACAACATATAACTGTTCACTCTGTTAGGGATGTTAGATCGCTAGAACTCACTTACTTGGAAAAGTCCTAATTTTGTAATTTTATTCTAAAATTTTGAATTTTTATGTTTTCGCGCCAGTTGACCTTCAGCTTACGTTTTAGCCTCGGGAAATCCTTGACCGCCATTGGTTGATGGATTATTTTAGTACGCTATTGTGTGGCTCTCACCAAGGGCGTTTTATCAATTGTATAAATAAGCCTGATTTGTGTGCTTAGCAACCTGAATCTTTCTGGCTACCTGTAGAATACATTCTCTCAAGACTTCGTGATATAGTTAGCGGAGCTTGGGACAATCGGATTTGAATAGCCTTTCGTGTCACTATATCATTTGTCTTCCGCACCGCCTAACGGGTATGGTGAACGTATGATAGCACTCAAGCTTATAAAGTCCAAAAACTGATTGCGTGATTTATTTCACTTAGTATTGAATGCTAACATTATGTTTGTCATTGTAAATATGATTATGATTAGTAAAACTATTCTTCATGGAAATGAAAAATGAAATAGAAATAATAAGAGAAATCCTAAACAGACTCAACGAAATTCACACATCAAATTGACATACCATGTCGTTTAATCAAGCATAAAAACTATAACTATTGTTTTTTCAATTTCACGACAACTCAATCAATTTTTAAATAAGTACCATTTCATTTTAGTAAATCATGGTTAAAATTACTACTAGGATTCATTGATATCTGATTATTAGAACAAAATTTATCGTGAACAAGGTAATAATGTTCATTCCGGTTATCGATGGGGTTAGGCGAGTGTATCACACTCTCAGTCAATAGCCTTTCTCATTTTCTTTACACCTTTATTCACAAGGAAATGAAGTCTTTTTTTGTATTGTGTATAGAAGAGACTGTTACATGTGTAGTTGTATAAAATTGAGATTTGCCCTTGTTTGATTATACATCGCTTCACTTGAATCAGTCAGTCAGTCAGTTGCAACGTAGAACTTCGTACGTATGTACATCAGTTCATATTGCTATACCACATCAACACAGAGACGCAACTGTCAAATCAAATCCCATAGTGATAGAGATAGTAGAGGTATTAATGGTAATAAAGAAGACTAGGGTTTGAAGATATTATTCAAGAAGTATTATTCAGTGAGATAAGGTTAGAAAGACAAAGGTAGAGGAGCTGACGAATCCAGAAGATCAGGGGATTTGAGAGAGATCAACGAATGGATGCACTTGCGCCACTGCAAACGATTTTGAGCCATGTCGTTCAAGGTCTCTAACCATTGGTGACTTTCGTCTCACGGACCCCAACCAGGTAGCCTACATCTACCAACATGACTCAGTCCACTTGTCAGTGACTTCATGGATTTGTGCCATGTTTTGGTTTGGCCGCCCCTAGTTTTCTTCCGACCTGCTCCTACATCGCAAAACATAGCTCGTCGAGGTAGTCGGTGGTTGGGCATCAGTAACACATGTCCCAACCATGTGTTTCACTTGAATATTTATCATTAACTATTTAATATTTGTTAGTTCTCATTCATTTGATGGAAATGATTTAGAAATAATTCTAAATTGAATTCTGTAAGAAAATAAGTATACTAAATATATATATTGAATGTATGTATTGAAATGCTTCAAAATTTCTACACTAAATCAATACAAATTCATGAAATATTAGTTTTAAATTGTAATTATCATTTGAACTCTTTAACTTTTGTTTTACACTGAAATATTTTTTATTGTTCATTGAATGGTAATCATTTAATGTTGATCAAAGTTCACAGTATCAATCATATAAACTTTGAATATTGAACAATAGATAACAAGAATGATTAATTACTACTATGTGTTGGATATTTTGTAATTGTTTACAACGCTATGAATTATCTGTAAAGTCAGCTTATTTTTTTCTATTTCTAGTTAATTTATTTGGTAAAATTTAGAATAAAGTATTTAAGTTGATCAAATTTGTTTTATTTAATATATAATTTAAATATTTTTTTTAAAAAAAAATTCCTTTTCTCTAATTGTGTTTCTTTTTTCTCGCATTAAAAAAAAACAAATAAAAAAATTTAGGTTACAGGTTTTGTGAAAAATCCAAACGGTGTACCGGTGGCTGTAATTCAAGGAACATGGGATAAATATATAGAATATCAACTTTTATCAATTGATAAAGTACCTGTTGGTGAACCGAAATTAGTATGGCAAACGGACACATTACCGCCTAATGCTTCTGATGTAGGTTTATGCTATGATTATGACTTACTTACTTACTTACGCCTGTTACCCCCAATGGAGCATCATAGACCGCCCACCAGTTTTCTCCAACCAACTCTGTCCTGAGCTTCCCTTTCTAGTTCTTTCCAATTTTTGTTCATTCTTCTCATATCTTTCTCTATTTCTTGGCGTAATGTGTTCCTTGGCCTTCCTCTTTTCCTTTTGCCTTGATGGTTCCATGTGAGGGCTTGTCTTGTGACGCAGTTCGGTGCTTTTGACAGTGTGTGTCCTATCCACTTCCACCGCTTCTTCCTGATTTCCTCCTCCACTGGAGTCTGGTTTGTTTTCTCCCACAGTTCGTTGTTGCTGATGGTGTCTGGCCAACGAATCCGAAGTATTTTGCGTAGACAACTGTTCATAAACACTTGTATCTTCTGGATGATGTCTTTCGTAGTTCTTCATGTTTCCACTCCATACAGTAGAACTGTGTTAACATTTGTATTGAAAATCCTGATTTTGGTTTTGTTTGAAAGTTGTTTGGAGTTCCAGATATTTTTCAATTGCTTTGCCGACCCGCGCCTTCACATCTGCATCGGATCCACCTTGCTCGTCGACGATGCTGTCAAGCTATGTAAAGGTGTTAACGTCCTCCAAGGCATCTCCATCAAGAGTGATTTAGTTGGTGCATGTTGTGTTGTATCGTAATACTACAGAATATCAAATTTTAATCAGTATAAAGTAGTGAGATTATAGAAAAGGTATGGAATTGAATGTTGTGTCGTTTTTACTGATGATGTAGTAAAAGCATAATGAACTGGTACTCCGTCTATGCAAATTTTGTGTTTTTACCCACGATGCATCCAATGATTGCTTTCATGTGTCGGAGATATTAGATCCCAAGAACTCACTTGATTAAGTTCCTAATTTTGGATTTTATGTTTTCGAGCATGAGCTGATCATTTGACCTTGAGATTACATTTCCCACCCGGAAAGTCCTTGACTGTCATTGGTCGATGTCTCATTTTAGTATGCTATTTTTGTGGTTCTCCTAAGGACGTTTCTGTCATGTATAAATAAGCTCAATTTGTGTGGTTGCCGACCTCGTATTTTCTGAGTGCTTGTAGAATACACTTTCTACGCCTTATCAAGTCTTCTTGATATAGTTAGCCGGACCGGGGACAAACGGGTAAGAATATCTTATCGTGTCGCTGGATCATTTGTCTTCGCTCTCGCTTACCGAGTTAGGTGAACTTGTAATATCATTCAAGGATAACAATTGACGAGTATATCATCATGTGATTAGAATGAGTGATTTAATTGAGTTAATAGATGCACACTGAATTTGTGATATGTATCGGTTAGACATGCTATTGTACATGTGTGTTACGGGGAAAAATTTTCTCCCACATGTACTCTCAAAATTGTTATCCATTTAATTAGTTATCTGTCACTATTTTTTGCTGTAACAAGTACATGATTTTAGTAGGGATAAACTTTAAACAAATCCTATACTATTGATTAAGCTGTTAAATTACCGAAATCAGTCATGCTCACTTGGATACTTACTTGTTATCTCATTATAATGTAAATTAACAGGTCAGTCAGTCAGTCAGTTGCAACGTAGAACTTCGTACGTAAGTACATCAGTTCATGTCGCCATACCACATCAGCACAGAGATATAATTGTGAATTCAAATCCAATAGTAGAAGAGGTAGTAAAGGTATTAGAAGTAATCGGAGAGGTTAGAATTAGAAGATATTATTCACGAAGTATGATTCAATGAGATAAGTTTAGAAGGTAAAAACTAGAGGTGTTGTAGAACCCAGAAGATTAGGGTTTGAGAGAACACAAAGAATAAATGCACGGGCGCCATTGCGAACGATTTTGAGCCATGTCATTCAAGGTCTCTAACCATCGATTATTATCATCTCGCGGACCCCAACCAGGTAGTCGAAAATTACCGACATGGCTAAGTCTACTCGTCAATGACTTCATGCATTTCTGCCATGTTTTGGTCTGGCCGCCCCTAGCCTTCTTCCAATCTATTCCTACACTACAAAACAAAGCTCGACGAGGCAGTCGGTGGTTAGGCATACGCAACACATGTCCGAACCACCTCAACTGATGAAGTTTCACCACTTCATCGATTGATCTGCCATTCTTACCTAATACCCGTTTCCTAATAACAGCGTTGCTCACTCGGGTGTCCCAGGATATACGAGCAATGCTTCGAAGACACCTATGATCGAAAACCAATAACCGACGAGTATCTTCTACTCTCATTGGCCATGTTTCACAGCCACTGCGCAGTACACTCGTCCTTTAGTCAGCAAACGGATATCTCGCCTACGCCATAAGTGACGCAGGTTGGCAAAAGCCAATCGAGCCTTCTGTATCCGTGCCGAGATTTCGTCAGTCACCAGGCCATCAGCACTGATGAGACTCCCAAGATAAGTGAAGCGGTCTACACGTTCGACTACTTCACTCCCTATCACTAGTTCAGGTACCGATGAAACCCAATCTTGAAGCAACATTTTACATTTCGAGGGGGAAAACCGCATCCCGAATATGCTTGCATTGTTGCTTAGGGTGGTCAGAAGACTCTGCATTTTGTCAGCGTCTTCACCAAGTAGGACAATGTCATCGGCATATTCTAAGTCAATAAGCGAGCCACCTGGTAAAAGGTCTACTACTGAAAATTCAGACGAGGATAAGGTTATTTCTAGGAGCAAGTCTATGATAAAATTAAACAAGAATGGAGAAAGTGGACATCCCTAACGGACACCACTTGAAGTAGAGAATTCCGTTGACAGTTCGCCATAAGCTCTCACTCGACCAGTGGTGTTTGAGTGGAGAGCTTGTATGAGGTTAATGTACTTCTTTGGTACACCTTTCAATGACAGACACTGCCAGAGAACCTCACGATCCACAGATTCAAATGCCGCCTTAAGGTCTAGGAAAACAACTATTGTAGGACGCCTAAATGTGTTTCTGTGTTCCAGGACCTGTCGTAGTGTGAAAATGTGGTCTATACAGCCACGTCCAGGTCGAAAACCAGATTGGTTTTCTCGAGTTTGCTCTTCACGAGCTTTCGTTAAGCGTCGAAGTATTACTGAGGCCAATATTTTAGATACTATATTAGTTAGACTTATTCCTCTGTGATTGTCACAAGAAGACTTCTGTCCTTTCTTATAGATTGGGACAATCAAGAATTGAGACCAGTCGGATGGGATTACGTCCAGTTCCCAGATTCTACCTAAGATCTCAGTCAATCTAGCTGCTAAAACTGGACCATCATCCTTAAATATCTCAGGGGTCAGTCTATCAGGACCTGCAGCTCGTCCTCGCTTCAGATTTCCTAACGCTTTCTCAATTTCATGAAGACTAGGGGCACTTACGTCGATTTGCCATTCAGGATGACTGGAGATCGTGGGTAACTGAAGAGTGGCTCGAGGCCAGTTGAACTGATCCCTAAAGTGTTCTGCCCATCGGTCCAGTCTCCTAGATTGAGAATAAATAATAGTCCCGTCATTTTCTGAAATAGTCTCACTTACACTAGGATTCCTAATACCAGTTTCCTTGATAAGTCGGAAAAGTTGTCTACTGTTGCCGATCGCCGCTGCCTTTTCCATCGCTTTTGCTTTCGCCACCCACCACTGTTCGTGATCGTTACGTAGGCTTTTCATAAGTCTGCGCCTAAGTTGACTTCGTTCTTCATCATGTTCAGAGCCAGGTGGGATGAGTTTTCGGGCATCCATCAGATCGGTGGATGCTACTGAGATCCACGGTTTCATTCTAGCCTTATGGTCAACCTTACTAGCAGATATCACTGCTGTTTCCACAGCCTTTTTGATATCGTTCCATCCTGCTTCCGGATGGGAATCGCTTAAATGGTCGCCTAACTGTCTTTCTAGTTGTTCCTGAAATATATTTTTCGCCTTATTATCATTAAGTAAAACCCTAAGAGGCTTTCTTACGGTGTCTTTCCTACGCCCAGTAAGCTTCAAACAAATACGCGCTTGCACTAGGGCATGATCTGAATCTAGACATGTGCCCCAGAACGAGTGACAGTCTTCTATCGAACCCCTCCATCGGTGAGTGATGGCAATGTTATCTAGTTGACTCCAACGTTGAGACGACTTCGGGGGTCGCCAGGTCAACAGATGCTTTTCCTTATGCCTAAAGTTAGTGTTTGCTAAGAATAGGCGGTTGTCTGAGCATACTTGCAACAGACGGTCACCATTGTCTGTTCTCTGAGCCGCGACACCATAACATCCACCTAGGTGTCTCTCCTGCTCACTTAGTCTACCTACTTGGGCATTAAAGTCACCAGCCATTATTACTATATCAGAGTGCCTAGCTTTTCGGAGGAGGTCCGAGAGCTTTCTGTAAAACTCATCCTTAACCTCGTCTGAACTGCATTCAGTGGGGGCATAGGCAGATACGACGAGGAGGCAACGGCGATTGTCCCTATCTTTCCGAGTCCTTACTGTCCCGTTTAGTCGGACAGCGCACAATCGACTATCTATTGGGATCCAGTCAAGGAGAGATTGTTCTGCCCTACGACTCAATGCTATGCCTACGCCAGCAAGACCCCTGGGAGCAGCATCAGGGCTACTGGATACACGAAGAGTAAATCGAGCTGCTTCTTTATTTTGATATGGTGTGGCCAAGTGTATGACGTGACTCGGATCCTGTATGCGCGTTTCCGAGACGCAGCATACATCGATCGCACGAGATTCTAAAGTCCTAGCTAAGGAAGCCTGTTGCCCTATTTGACACAATGTCCGTACATTAAATGCTCCAACATGTAGTCTAGAGCGAGGTTCAAGGAGACCAGGAACGACGTTTCGCGAACTCGTATCGTCTGCATTAGCTGTGCACTGTGATGAATGAATGTGAGAAGAGTTAGTCGTGGAGATAAGAGAGGTACTAGGGGGTGTAGGAAGGATTTGATTTTGACCAATTTGGTCTCGTGTGCTGTTATGGGTATGAGGGCGGTTGTCACTTCCCGGCTGCCCACACCGTGGAAGGTTGTTTCTTGACGAACCTGAAAAGGAAGATGGATTAGTGTTGGTGCGTGACCGCAGAGTCCAAGGGACAACTGCTTGAGGCCGGTCACGCACGGCCTTTTTATGAAATGTTTTTTGAGGATTAGCTCCGTTCTTAAAGGCCCTTAGTGGGCACCGTGAGTTAGGGGAGGTGTGACATTTTTAGGGCCGACCTTTTCTAACCCTTCCTTCCTTGTGAGAAGGCAGCATCGCTGCAGATGCTGGTTGTCCGAGGGAAACACCTTACTGCTGTCACACCCCTCTGCAGTCAGCAGTACGACTTCGCCCTCAGACCTTGGGTAGCTGCGTTTAGTCTCATCGTTCTCCAATCGACCTGTCTGGCATGGTAGAACCTTGAGGAACATATGTTCCAGCCAGTATAGCTCTGTTGGGTCATCACGATAGGCAAGCCCGACCACCACGTCAAGGTAGCAGCTACGGTCGGGAAATTAACAGGTACACAAAATTAATAGACGATATTTTATATCTCAGTTTGTAGATTATATGTGTAAGAGGAAACTGTCTTAATAATTATTTGAGTATGATAAAAACACTGAACATATATCTTGTCTATTGTACAAACTGAATCTGCCTTTTATCATCGATTGAGTGTGAAAACCAGCGAAACTGAAGTCAATGGATAGTGATATTTGTTCAGTGAAAGTGAAACACTTGTGACGGACACTAATAACAGCTAATAAATATTGATAATAATGATAATAATAATAATATGCTGTTACTCATTTAGTAGTTTTTTCAATTGGAGGCATCATGTAATCAGATACATGTAATGTATTCCTTTCACAATTGTTTATTACAATTTTTATGCTGTTGTTCCGTTTTCCTAAAATCAACTATACTCTAATTTACATAGTTTGAGAAATATCAGTCAGAGTCTATTTTGACTGACTTATCAGTCATGTACATCGTAGCACTTGGTACGTACGTACTTAAGTACATCAATTCAAGTTGCCATAACACATTAGGACAAACAGTTTGAATTGTCAATTCAAACAACATAGTGGTAAAGTTAGTAGAAGTATTAAAGATAATGGAGATTAGGGTTGGAAGATATTATTCAAGGGTTATAATCCAATGCAATCAAGGATATTCAACTGCTAGTGATTTTTCACTATTCGTAACCATTTTATTCTCATAATGAATTTATTAACAGATTTATTTTATGTTTGAAGTTGCCATATATATATATATGTCGTATATAGGGGGGCTATGTAAGAAGGATTTGATTTCAACCAATGGCATTTAGTGGGCACCCTTACCGACGGAGACGGAAATCAGTGAGGTAAGGTGAGGTATGACATTTTTAGGGTCGACCCTTCCTTCCTTGTGAGAAGGCAGTATCGCTGCAGATGCTGGTTGTCCGAGGGAAACACACTCTGCAATCAGTCAGCAGTACGACTTCGCTCTCAGACCTTGAGTAGCTGATTTTAGTCTCATCGTTCTCCCATTGACCTGCCTGGCATGGTAGGACCTTCAGGAACATATGTTCCAGCCAGTATAGCTCTGTTGGGTCATGACGATAGGCAACCCCAACACCATGTCAAGGTAGAAGCTATGGTCGTATATATATATATATTATACAATAATATAGGATAAAGTAAATTGTTCAATTAAGCAAATTATGAAACTGTTATTTTGTTTTCCATTGTTCCGTACATATCTTCTGTTAACTTACGGTTGAGAAAAGCCACTAGTTGTTAAATTATTGCGCTATTATGCTCATGTTACATAGTGTAGATTGTATTATAATTCATCAACTTGATATCATGTTTTTTTGTTCTACATTCGAAGATGAAAATGAGGCAGTCACAATCAATTATTTTGTAATGATTATTCCTCTAATATCAAATTTTTTAGTTGAAACTTATTTTCCTGTCTTATTCAAATAACTTGAAAAAAAAGCAAAGATTTTCATTGAATTCATTGTTTCCATTGTTGTTATTTATTCTGTGCCTATGGATAGATGTATTATTTTTCACAATTCGCCATTGAATTAAATGAAATGGAAGATGGTATTGCACCGACTGATTCAAGACATCGACCTGATCAACGTCTTATGGAACAAGGGCTATGGGATCAAGCAAATGATGAGAAAATGCGTTTAGAAACAAAACAACGAAATAAACGTTATGCATGGGAGAAAGCAGTTCGTGAAGGTATTTCATTATTTATTCTATTGTGTTACTGTTTAATTTTGCTCTGTCAATTAATTATAAAGTATACATGATTGATTGACTGGTTGATTATTGAAAAATTATGTTTCAGACTATGGAAACCAGGATAGAGATGATTGACTATAAATAGTTTTGTTTTTGCGATAATGATTATTTGGTTAAAATTACTTACATAAGAAAGAAGGTTTAGTTAGTTAGAAATTGCTATGATCACACATTCTATATAGTAGTAATAGTAGTAAAATTAATTAGTTTAACTGAACAAAATATTGTAAATAATTTACCATATAGAAAAGAACATTCTACAAATGTCTCTTGGCACCGGTGCATTTATTCTCTGTGTCTTCTCAAATCCTAATCTTCTGGGTTCTTCAACGCCTCTAGTTTTGACTTTCTAAACTTTTCTCATTGAATCATACTTCTTGAATAATATCTTCTAATCCTAACCTCTCCGATTACTTCTAATACCTTTACTACCTCTTCTACTAATGGATTTGAATTGACAATTACATCTCTGTGCTGATGTGGTATGGCGACATGAACTGGTGCACTTACGTACAAAGTTCTACGTTGCATCTGACTGACTGACTGACAAGTGTCTCTAAAGGACTACAAACAAGCGGTTACATAATTAATAAATACCGACAATAAGAATAAAAAATATCTACAGTTCAATTATGTAAAATAAGATTACTAATCTAAGAAGACAATGGAAAAAGTGAAAAGACCTAATGATGTAATTAGTTGGAAGAAAGAGGCAAGGCAAAGGTGAATTAACAATCATATTCAATATAACACATAAATCAGGTTTCTACAACCTGAAAGCAATGGTTTAGGCATATTTCAGGAGACTGGGTCTTGACTGTTGACTTATCACCTTGAAAGATTGTAAGGTATCATACTGATATCCTATTTCTTGAGCGATGATTAGTAATTTCGTTGCTTAAATTGTTTCAGTTTTTTCAAAGGCTTTTAGGGATATGTCCAAAAATATTCTCCTCTTTGTGTTTGTTCACTGAAGCTGCTTTGGCAGGTACATGTTAATTTATAAAAAACTGTTAGCGGTAACGTGAAAAGAATAGTTATTGATCTTTGAATGGGTTATTGAGCATGTCGTTTTTACACAGAATTAGTCATTTGGCTGTTGAGTAAGTTCTAGTTGATGCAGTGTTAAGCCTCCTACTGATTGTGCTTGCAACATCATCACCTTTGCAGTAGAGTTTTATAAATATTGGTTTTTTTTTACTGACTCCAGTCACATCCGTCCTAATTTTTTAAATATTTGTGAGTAAATTCCTCTAGGTAGCAGCTATCTCCTAAGTATTTTTTAACTTTGATCAATTCTTCTTCTAATTTGTCGGTGGTGCATCTAATTTCCACTCTATAAACAGTGTTTTGACCAGCGGTTTCTTGTAACTGACTGGGCAAAAGCTATTAAAGTTCAAGTATAGACCATTCCAGCCTATTGGAGTTTGCTGAAATTATTGCTATCAAGTTGTAGGAAGCTGATTTATGTGAAAATGGCTGTGCCATCATAACAAAAACATTTCTCACAGTTATGGGGAGATCATTTTTTACACATGAAAATCATAAATCAATCATTGTTAGACCACCATTGATGACGTTCAATGTCACTCCAAACCGATTACAAAACTCCAAGCATCTGAAATGAAAACGAAACGGTATGCAAATAGCATGGAGCGAATGAGTAGGGCTTCAAATGAATGAATCTCTGCATTATTTAAGCGACTAACATATTAAAGCTAGTAGAATGTATATATATATTTGCGTAGGCTGCAACCAATTTTCAAGCATATATGCTCATGCAAACGTGACCATAATACAAGTACAGTAGTGTAGGCGAGTTGTTGCTGTTTGAATGACGCTGACTGTTAAATTAGTTGATAAAAGGACTTAACCAAATAAATGTAAACAGACTATAATTTATCTGAGGAGCTATAACATCATTTTATCTTTTCATCTCGACTGTCTTTTAGATTAATAAACTTAATTACTTATCAGGGTTTATTCATCACGTATAAAATACAATTTTGATAGTAAAACAATTTCTCTATGATTTTTATTATCCATGGTTTTTTTTAAACACATGTTCAATACCCTAACACAAAATATAATTTAAAAATATACATGCTTTTTATCATTTCCTATCTTACTCCTATCAATTAACAGTTAGATAAATCGAAAACCTATAAATGACATTTTGTGTAAATGAAATTTTGATTACCAATGAAATGGCTTATAAAAAAAAGCCATCTGATGTCACTACTTTGCGATCTGCAAACTGATTCTATTCCACTTAAATGCAGAATTACTTGATCTTTAGATATCACTTAATTAGTTAGTATTTGACTTCTAATTACGCTGAGATTAAAATGCCTTACAGATCCAATAAAAAGCTTCAATTCCTTGAAATCCACCGATGATTTGAAAAAGTAAATAGACACCACTCTTCTACGCTATAAATATTTATCATAATAATTTTTTGAATCAACTTAAAATCGCAAGCTACTCTGTAAACAATGAATATATATATATATATATATATATATATATATATATATATATATATAAACATGTATGTAATTATTCTTTTTATTTAGGTCAAACAGACGAACCATTATTCACACCAGTATGGTTTACACCAAAATATGATGTCAATGGTAATTTATATCATCAATATTTAGGAAATTATTGGCAAGCAAAAGAACAACAAGATTGGGCAAAATGTCCAGATATTTATTGAAAAAAAAAAGAAAGAAAGTTTTTCTCTTAGATTTTTTTTATTTTCTATAATTATTCTTGTTGTGCGTACGCGCACGAGCGTGCGCGAGAAAAAGAGACAGATTTCAGTATAATAAAACAATATATTGTCTCTTTTATACATCAGTTTTCATCGACTTTTTTCTCTCACCGTCTTTGTTGTTTGTTTTCTGACAACATTCTTATTCTGTGCTTATTTAAAATTAAAATTAAATCTCATTCACTTTGCTTTTTATGATAATAATATCCGATTGTTATCCTTTCATCATTTATTTTGTCTGTTTTATCTATACACTAGACAAATTCTGTTTCTCTACATGGGGCTTTCACTAACTGCAACCAACCAGCCTTTTATCGTGTTCCTTTTTATTGAACTCACTGATTTATAGTTAAAAAAAAGTAGTATATTTTCGTGTGCTTACAGATTGTGTTGTTGTGTACCTTCGTGTATATAAATGCGTATATATATATATATATATATATATATATGATTTGAACGATTCCATCTTCTACACTGTTCCTAATTAGTTTTTTTTGTGTTTTATAGTTGTTATATTACTTATTACTGTGAATGATAGTAGTAGTGCTTTCTGTGTAACATTTGTAATAATAAATGTGTACAAAAAGAAAAAGCTACCATTTTTAACACTTTTTATTGAAAAAGTGTTATAAAGCACAACGGTGATAATAATTTTTAACCTTGAACAATTGATATTCATATTCATATTAATTATATTTTACTCTTTCATGACTGTTTATTTTGTTTCTTCTATTTCTTAAACGATAAGATGAATAAGTATTAGCTCCTGTTTATTATTATTATTTTTTTTATAGCATTAATATTTTACTACTATTAAAGTGAAAATAAATGTTCAATTGAGGGTCTATTCCTTCTTTGATTTGATTTTGTTCTTGTTTTGTCTGTCCATTTCACCGCCCCCCTTAGTTGACCAAGATGATTTTTGTATTGTTTCTGCTTTATTTGACCTTTCTCTTTGACATTTTATACTTTTCTTGTTGTTCTTATCCTTATATGTTGCACTAATTGTACTCTTGTGTGTCTGTTCTGTTAAATCTACTGTTTACTACTACTGACACATGTGCTGGGGGATGATAGATAATCTGTGTATAATAGAAGAAGAATCTTATGAATGTTGACAAACAAGTATAGGAAACACTGGCACAATTTGTTTTCCCAATATATATATATTTATAGGTATTTAACTAATTTAACTGTTGATCTATAATGTTTTGTCTAAATTTTTCTTACAGCTTGTATTCATCTCTATATTCATTTATGAATTTTTCATCACCTTCCTTTTTTTTCGTGACAACATCAATTTGTTTATTGTTTTCCATTAACCTTGACAATGTTTACTCATGTACACATGTAAAAAAACAACTGTATTTTCAGAAGAAAAAAAAGGAAATATTTATATTTTTTTATGAATGAACACTTCTTCGCCTTTTCTCTTTTCCTCTTTTTTTCTAAACTACAACTCCACACCTACTGATTTATATTCTGCTATGCTTATTATAATACCATGACCCATCATTATTATTTTTTTCTTGCTAAAATCTAATTCTGTATTTATGTATTTTATTGACTTATTTTGTGCATAATTCACATCTTTCATTAATTTGTTTTGTTGTATCTTGTCATTCGTTTTTATCTCTCTCCCTCTCTTTGATTTGCTTTCATTATTTTTACCAGCCAACCTGATTGTCATGATTGAATTGAGTTTATAGTGTGTGTGTGTGCGCGTTTTTCTATAAGAAGAAAAAACAAAGTCGATTTTGTATTCGAACGAAGTAAAAAAAAATATTCATTATTGTTTGAATAAGATTTTGTTGTATCTGTGTTTTTTTTCCCGCTGCCAACTACCATTTGAGATATAATAAATAAAGTGTACAGTACAGTGATTTAATGTTGCTGTCTAATAAATAAGTGAATTGTAATTATAGATTATTAATTGTATTGAATACATATATGAGGTATGAATATATATATATATATATATATATATATATATATATATTGTTTTCAAGTGCCTACTCAACATATTTCAAACGACCATGTATGGTCTTATTAACTGACTAACTGACTAACTAACCAATGAAAATTAATTTTGATTTATTATTGACTTGATTTCATGAATATTGGTGTATAAAATTTGAAAATAAAAACTTACTAACTTGGATTTGATTTGTACATGTTGATCATTCAAAGCATACCTAAGTGCTTGGCTTAAAAGTTTTTTTTTTAAATGGACTTTTTTTATCGATAATAACTTATTTCATGTAACTAGATTTTCAAATAAAAATAGGGCATCAATCATCGAAAAGTGTGGAAGTATCACTAGAAATTGATTAGTTACAGCCTCCAATCCGAAATTAGAAAGGTCAGTCCTACGTTCCTTTGGTTTTATCACTCACATTTTAAGGGTTGAATAAAAATAAAGTTCGTTAAGTTTAGAGCATGGTATTATTAAATTTAACCGAAACTCACAATCTCTTTTATTTGATTCAGAGTAGTAAAGGAAACGATCGGTGCATCAACTTAAAAAGTGATTCATAAAAGAGATGATGAAAGCGATGAATTGAATGAATGTAAACATTTCAGTAGACTTGAATTTGTAGGTCAGCACAAGTAAAAACTGATTCAATCTGTGATGAGTCGTCATAAATTCATGTGCTTTTGTTAAATATTATTTTGTCAATTATTGATTAACGAGTGTTAGTCAATACACGTGCATTTGACTGATGAATCTTAGGTAGGTTTGAACGCATGCTTTGATAACTACCGGCTTTCAAAAATGTAATCTAGGTATTTGTCTTGCTGACCTTCCTATTTTACTATCTTGGATCATCTCATATATATTCTCACTGTAGAAAAAATGCAAAAAAACCACGATGCTTGTTAATTTACCCTCTTAAAAAACGACCTGTTTAGGTTTGAACACGTGATCAGTATCATAACCCTTACAACTTAATTTGTTTTTGTAGTGCATGAATGTTTAGGTACTTCTTTGTACAAATAATTCTGTTTCAACATAACTATTTGTGCATTCTGTCTCTCTAAAATCCAGTTGTTTCGCTTCTATCATTTACGTTCACAAACAATGTAGCAAATACTGAATGACACAGAAAAAACATCCACTTTATCGCAGCATGTGTGCAAGCCACATTTTCATTTCAAACTGAATAAATTCAGTTTAATTATTTGTTTCAGAAGTAACTTCAACGGTTCGGTATAAATAATTTAAATCATATTAGTAAAACTTGATCAGAAATTGGTTGTTATTATGAAAGTAGTTTATTGAAGTCTAATTAATTGAAGTTTAAGTGAGAGAGAAAGAATTATGCCATAAAATTTATGATGCTTCCCAACGCTTATTTGACATAATTGTCGTAAAATCACTTCTCTGAATAAAAAAAAACGTAGCAATGCATTGTTATGCATTCCTAAAATTTACGTTACTTATCTATTATCAGTAGTATCGCGTTGCACACCGAAAATAATCAGACTTGATCAAAATGAAAATTTATTCCAACTAACATCAAAACACAATGATTGTTTCATTTCTAAAAAAATTTTGTCACTCATCTAACACTTCTTGGTTCATAGCAAAATAGACATGTACATTCTACAAAAGTTATACTCATAAAAAATTTCGAATGACAAATATAAAGTATAAGAATAAGAATCAATAAAATCACATATGAAAAAATAAGATTGTGATGAAAATATGAGGAATAATCTAATCCAAGGTATATCATGCAATGATTCTATGTTCATAATGTTAAGCTTTCAATCTCATAGATTCGAAGTAACAAACGTGTATGTGCTTATTTGCCAAACATTAAATTACGCAAAAAATGTTGTGACATAGTTATACATTTCGAAACAAAACACATCTATCTCCAGAAAAGTAAAAAAAAATAATTTCCGTATCAAAAATGTTGATAAAGTAGTAGTGCAGATGAAAAAAAAAGCCAATCAAAAGTCATATACATATATATATATATATATATATATATATATATATATTCATTTACATGTGCTAGAAACATTCAAAAATTATTTTTCTATCATTTTTTGCTTGAAATATTTCATTAGTTGAATGTTGGTTCTTTCAATTGTAATTTTAAAAAAAAATTGATAATCAATTGTTGAATTAGACAACTAATAGTTTATATACATATTGTTCAAAGATTTTACATGATACTATGATTGATATACATTAATTGTGTGTTATATGTCAATGAACTGTGAAAATAAAAAAAAATGATACTTTGACGTACGTAGAAAGACATATTAAAATGAAACAACAATTGGGATTATTGTTCTCTGAATGGTAGTGAGTCAATCACCAGAATAGATGCAAAGACCAATGTAAATGAATGTGAACCCAACCAGATGTATATGCATTCAGACATTTATTAATCAGCATCATAATCATCCAAAAAGTGAATCCATGATGGTAGTAATAACAATAATAATAATAATAGTAAAACAAATCTATTCTAAATCTGGTGCACCATAGCCAAGACGAGCTAATGCAATATTTAAACGATGCCGTTGTATTGTACGGAATTGTTGTTCATGTATTTCAATTTTGTTTGGAATAATTTCTATTTCATCATTACTGGTGGTGTTGTTGTTGTTTAATTGTTGTATACTTTTATAATTAATTTGTTGATTACAATGATTAGATTGGTTGATTTCAATGATATGATGATTTGTATGAGTTTTTCTATTTACACTAAGCATTGGACTAGAATCTAAACCACGTTTTATAATACTTAAATATTGAAATAGATTAACTACAGCAACTAATCTATCTCTTGCTGGTAATGATATTTTACAATCGATTTCATTGGAATCAGGTGTCTAATGAAGGAAATGAAAAAAAAAAAGAAAATGAAAATCAATAAAATAATATGAAGAGGAAGCACTTAAATTAATTGTTATATTATGAATATAATTGTTACTTATTGTCATTATTATATAAACAGCATGATATTAGGTAGTTGTATCATAGAACTTGGTACATACTTACCTCGTTTCAAGTTGTTATACCCAATTAGCAGCAATCATGGTTGAAATTAACAACTTAAGATAACAAGTGTTTTTTTAAAAATAAAAATACATTTTGATTACTCTAATTTTA